ATTATTTATATATTTATATATTTGATATCATAATTTAATATTATTTTTGTTTATAAAGTTTTACTTTATTATTAAAAGAATGTGTTATGTATTTTATATAGAATGTAAATTTTATTTATAGTGAATTCGATTACTCACACTACTGTAATCAGTGCACATTAAAAGCTCCTTTATATAAGATCTAAATGCCGTGACAGGATATAATCAACTTTAACAATGAAATAATACACATATGTTCTATTAAATAATATGACAATGTCATTATTGGCCATTTAATGTGATAATGTTATTATGAGCCATTTAATCGTTTAGAATATTCATATGCTTTTAATATTAATTTCGCCACATGTAGATATAACAGCTTTTAGTGTGCACTAATCTAGTGTAATGCAAGTGAACCGAATTCGCTATTAATTACAGACTCGCCCATAATTTATGTGTACGTCAAGAGCAATAGCCCTATGGTGTCTTTGCTGCCTATTGCAATAGTAGAAAATGATAATCATGAAGAATTCTCATTAAGACGACTATACATGTAATACGGACAAAATTTTATTAAAATTTTGATACACTTATTTACTGCGTCGTTCGATCTAAGATTCGATCGAGCTTTTTTACGTATATTTATCGAGTATTAACCTCATTTTATGAAATTTTGCTCTTGTCAAAATTCACGTTCACATTCAGTAACCACTCATTGATTGAGAATTAATATCTTCTACTTAAAATCCACTTCCCTTTTAAATTTTCCATTTTCCATAACTTCAACTATATATTTATTTATTCAAACAAAATTTCATAAATTAAATCTCTTCATGTTTTTAATTTTATTTAAATCAGTTATTTAAATCAGTTATCACAAATACATATTTATTGTACTTAGAAACACACGTTTCGAATGTTCTTCAAATTTTTACATATATTTATGGTCTCTACGCTTCTTTGAAGAAATTATAGATATATATAATTGTGTATGTAATCTTGTTAGTAGAGTTACAAAGGAAATAAATTGTGTATTTATTTTTATACCATTTTTATTACAATTGATGTAATCGATTTGTTTAAAATTGGAAGGTCTTTGTAGATGTGTCAATAATTTCGTTAATGAATATTACAGCTCTTTATTTTTTATTAGGAAAATTCTTTCCCCCTCAAAACAAAGATGAATCTTTATTTTTAAAATGCGTTAGCGTAACATTCTGGAAGCTTGTTGAGAAACTGAAAGAATTACACAATTTTGCCATTTCCAATTTCGAAGCATTTTCTATTATTATTGAATCAGCATCTTTATGTGTCAAAAATATAAACAAAATATAATAGCTTCTATTTTACGCAATTAAAGTGGAAGAATTTTGAAAACTGAATACGTCAAAGAAAATGTAAAATAAAATTTTATATATCGCAACTTTATAGACTGCAACGTTAACATGTGAGTATATATAAAATAATTTTTGTTTTATTAAAGAGATTTCTGCTCCTTATAGAGACATTCAATAGCCAATTTTTATGTTTGATATTCAATCATTAGTCAATTCGCAAATAACAATAAGATAATGAAAGATATGTAATCAGAAGACAAAAAAGTATAATGTTACTCGTAACTTCTATTTTAGAATAGAATAGAAGAATTCTATTTTATGATATAAATTTTCATGAAGGAAATCTTACAACATCGAGATTTCTTTAACAGTAATGACAGGTAATATAATCACGAATAATGTAAAATTACTTTAATCTGGATTTAACTTACTGTTTTTCTGTTTTTCTTAGAAATAGAAAAAGATAAGGAATAAATTGAACCAAGATTAAATTAATCTTATATTAGTGGAATTGGAACTCAGACTGCTAACTTTGTTTTCTATTTGATGATCATGTTCGTGATCGTATTACCTACCATCAAGACTGTTAAATTTGAGAGTTTGCCAGCAGATTCAACTAGAATAATGGCGGATTGGAATCAATTGCATTGGCATTAAGCATATACGTTCCGTCAATAAAATCTATCGACGTAATCTAACAAGCATGCAGATTAGTAGAACATTGTATTGGCATCAAATGTATCTGTATTAAAGTCCTGTTCCAACTTCGAATAAATTATGTGATAAATTTAATGGATAAAAAAGAGAATGAAAGAGAGAGAAAATGAAAGTAATAAAGATTTGATTAGATTTATCAAAAGTTAGAATAATTCCACCTAAATATTTTATCAGCAACTCTCAATATTTAATAGCTCCCAATATATTTGACAGTTCTTGATATAACTGACAACTTTAATTGTCAATAGGAACTGAGTAATTTATTATTTCGTAATCATGAAATGTTATGTTATTTTTAAACGGTAGCTAAATTGTTACATTCCAATTTTTATAACCAATCTGCCATCATGTTTTATTGGCAAATTTATATTTCTGTTGGCGTTCTGTCAGAAAATTTATTAAAATTTTTTATTTAATTTAAATTTATAGTAAACACTGCTATTATCTTTTTCCGATTAATTTAGCTGTTAAATGAAAAATGTATGTAAATGAAACACGTAGATGTTTAAAGCTTTCCTAGCCGATACAATCGTAGACGTCGCTGCTAAATCGGTCATCGGCAAGTAAACGAAAGGCTGCTGAAGAAAACTGCAGCGAGCAATTTTGCAACTCTGTGATATGGATAAGAGCAGTGCATTGTTATGAAAGATGTATGTACTGCTTGAACATTTGAGATGTTCACGCAACGCGTGGATGACTCAATCGCAGTGGGAATAATCATTTCTTAAATAATAATTCCGATCGCTCGTATTTGTCACGCTATTCCGAATGCTTGAATGACTGAAATATCGATTGTTTATGTTATGTCTGTACGTACCGCAAAAGGAGGCCCAAATGACGACCACCGCCGGCCATTTTGAATCGAGGGCCATGTTCCAGCTAAATGTTTCTAATATAAAGGTGCTTTTTTTAACGGCAAAATAGATCACATGATAAAAATTGACGCTTGATATTCGTTTTTTATCACGTGATCTGTCTTGATGCTAAAAATGAGCATCGAGCATCAGCATAAAAAAGTACTTTAAAGCAATAATTTTTATTGCAATAAATTTTACATCATTTTGTAGTAGTCGTATACCGCTTGTAAAACTAATCCTTTAATTAAAGAGGAACAATTAATATTAATATTCTTTTAAAAAAAATGTATGTTTTTTATTACTATTAACAAACATATATTACATAAATAAATTTTTCAAGTCACTCTCATCTTAATTTTGTGTGTGTGTGTGTGTGGTGTGTGTGTGTGTGTG